CCCTTCGCTGCGGGTCGACAATGGGGACATTGTCTGCTTTTAAGTGTGGGGGAGTTTTTGCATATTTATGTGGCTATGTGGTTGACCAGGTCTAGTTTTTATTTTTAGGTTATTTTATTTCTTTCTTTTGCGTGGTGGACCCGTCTAGCTTTAGGTTTCTGTGTTTTTCTGAGTTTGGATTATGGTGTATTGTAAGACTGGTTGATAACTGTTGGTTGAATTTGAGTAGTTGTGATGATGAGATCGAGTAATGCACTTTGATTAATTGGTTTGGTTGTTTTGAGAAACATATTTACCTTGTGAGGTTTGAGCCTTTACTGTTTCTTGTGTGATATTGGTCGGAATCTTGTCAAGTAGAATTTGCCTTGAGACTGCTTTGAAATAACTCGATTAGATTTGTGAAACGTGAGTATGATTGAGGCATTCCTTGTATTATCTTTTCTCTTTTCTTTTCCGTGAATAACAATCACTAGTTACCCCTTTTTTTAGCCTTATATGATTTTATTGATTAACCACGTGATGATGATATTGAGTTGCGGGATAGTATTGGAGGTGATAGTTGATTGCATTGTATATATGTCTATTTGCTTTAAAAAAAATGGGGAAGCCAAATGGATTATACTCCTAGCGCTTCGTCCACTAATGTAGTGGATATGAGCCATGAGTACGAGAAACCGGTCTAGGAGACTCGGGCAGAAAACCCGAAGGTTAAACCTAGATAATATGTCCAAATGGTTTTTGCAAAAAAAAAGGAAAAAAAAAAAGAAAAAAAAATCGAAAAAAAAGAAGAAGAAGTATTATGATTGGGATGAATGTTGGTCTTGGATTTAGTGGAAGAGACCGGTTGGTGACGGCTGGATGAGTTTATTGATACGGTTAGGTGGTTGAGTTAATATGGTTGGTGATGTTATTTTGAGCTACTTAAGCCTATATTTATCCTACTCTGTCCAAAGAGCCTACGTTTCAACCCATGAAGTCCTCTTGATTCACTGTTTTATGAATTTGATTGTTTTAGAGTAGAAGTTAGACGATAGGCAAATCTATGATTGACTTGGCTGACGACCAATTTGAGTGCACCTCTCTTATATTTTACGAAGAAACTGATTGAGGCATATATATATACTTTTTCTTGAGAGTCTTTGTTCTTCGAAATGGTTGAGTTGATTATTGAGGTGTGTTCTTGTGATCATTGGAATTCTTCTCGGTTTAATTGATACGTTTGAGATTGGTCTTGCTTGAACCGTTGTCCTTGCTCTTTTATTTATGTGTTCTCTTTTCTTTTCTTTTCTTTTTGTTCGGGACGAACAAAGGTTTTAGTGTGGGGGAGTTGTTTGTCCCATTTTTGTGTCTTTATTTTGGGTTTATTTTCTCTTTATTTTTCCCACTTATAGGATTTTCGTAGGTTATTTGGTCCAATTCAAGGGTTTTCTGTTTTTCTCGTTAGTTTCGTTTTGTGCGTCTTTCTGCTGTGTTTTGCTTCATGTTTTCTCCGTGTTTGTGTTTTCAGGAGGTAGATTGTGTCGGTCGAGGATGAGACTGCTTGAGCTGAGACCGGGATATCAAGAATACCCATTGACGTGCCCAGAATAAGGAAGGAAGGACCGAAAAAACGGACTGAAGAGCTGCCCAGCATTTCTCGCGACTCGCGAGATGGTCGCGACTCGCGAGAAAGTCACGACTCGCGAGTCCAACAGAGTCGAAATGACGATTTTTGCGAGACGAGTCGCGACTCGCGAGTCTATGTCGCGACTCGCGAGATGCTGTCGCGACTCGCGAGTTCGGTCGCGACTTTCCCCAGATTTTTAAAGATTTTGCCGATGCACGACTCGCGAGATGTCGCGACTCGCAATATGAAGAACATGGAAGTCGCGACTCGCCACTTATGTCGCGACTCGCGACTTACGCGGCGCGAATTTCGAGGACGGGATTTTTACATCAGAATTTCGACCTAGGGATAATAATTCAACTTCCAGACTTCGTTTTTGCACTTTTTCTCTCTAGAAACTCATTCATTTTCATACTTTTGCTCTTCTGATTTATTCTTGGAGATTGAAACTCCTATTTTATGCTTTGGATTTGGATGCTTGTGGATTCAACATTTAACTATTTTATATTAATCGCAAGTTCTTCTTTTCTTAATTGTGTGTTGATGATGATGGCTTGGGTTAACATGAATTGTGATGTTGAATTCGATATGAGTAGCTAAATCCATTCGCTAGGGATAGGGGATGATTGATTAGGTTCGATTAATGATTGCTTGTTCTTTATTGCTCATGCCTATTCGAGTTGTGCTTATTCTAGGGTTAGTAGATTGATCACCTTTCTAACCTAATTAATAAACGTGTAGAACCGAGAGGGGAGACGTTTGTCGACCTAGGCTCGTTTAGGGTAGACTTGTTCGTAAAAGTATTGTCTATGGGTTGCTGGAATTGATAGTTGATCGTGTACGTTCACTCTCCTGTTACGAAGAGTTATTGAGAGTGAGCCTCTGGACGAAAAACGATTCACGAAAAACGATTCAAGTCCCTTAACCGAGCAATTGATTGCCGGTAGTTGTGTTAGAACCGAAAGCAATTATCCCCGATTCCCTAGCTCTTTAATCATTTGAGTAAATTCGTTTGCTATTTAAATCGCTTTTCATTTATTTTCAAGTCACTAGTTATAATTAAAATAAAACCATTGAAATAGAGTGTTTAGGATTTTCTCTTTTCCGTGATCGAATACGTACGATTAAATCCGGCTAACCTTTCTTGCGATACGACCTGGGGAATGAACCTTTCGATTCTACTCCGGTAAAAAATATTGACAACCAACATCCTCTGCATCTCTTCCTCGGTCATTGCCACCATCTGCTGACCAGTGTGCTAGTTCTCCTCTCTTGGTGGTGCCACCACCTGCGCCGCTGCTCCGCCTTGCGGCACCCCTACCAGATCTGAGTGTAGCGGTGTAGGAACCACGATTGCCATCGTCGAATGAGCCTCATGCGCTCGACTCGAACTTTTCTCTACCATTAGAACTTCCGATGAGTCCCCCAAGCCTTGTGGAACGGTGTTAGAGATATCGACATCTATAAAGGTCTGGTGAATCCCAAAGGGAGGCCTACTCCAAGAAGCCTTGTCGTTGTCCACGCCTCGTCGAACGACGATTGTAAATTAACACAGGGAATTCCGTCCGCCATAGCTACACAGCACCCACTACCTCAAGCAAACACACACATCTTTTCGAACAAGAAGTCCCACAGACGGCGCCAATAATACAGATCCAACGCTCTAGCCGACTGAGTCGGCTTGTCCTTGTTATGCTCGCTGGTAGAAAGTCAAACACTTGCACAAACTCTCACACCGGATGGATTTTCCGGTGAAGAGCCTCCAACGCTCAAGTCAATCTCAAGCTATCTCCAATTTTCAATCATAAAAATGAATAGTGTTGTGTGTAAAATCATAAGGTTCATCCCTATATATAAGGGTGAGGTACTTGTTCACCCGGATAGGCTGAACTGGTTGTCCAAGGTCTTCCTGCCCTGCATGATAGTACAATCTACCCTATAGGTGTGATAGAAACGGTTATCGATATGGGCCAATCAAGTCGCGCCACGTGTCCTGCGCATGTGGGTAAAGATTCCTTTGAAGTCCTCTTGAAGGCACTTATGCTCGATCAAATCTGGGTATATCGCTGGACCATTCTCAACCTGTGAAGTGATCGATCGCATGACCATTTACTCGACCAGATCCTCCGCAGAGCTGGGATCAGCCCGTTCTCCTAAGGTTTTTGCCTCCATGATCTTCGATCGCCACCGTCTCGTTTAGACCCTGTTCCACCAGAGCGGTTCCATTTGTTTATTCAACCGGCTTACTAGACCAGTTCTAGGTATAATATCCCATATATGTACGGTTCTGGAGATTTTACAAATATCTGTACTGAGAACCGAACTGGCCAATACTGTCTGAACTGAAGAACCGAAATAAAGAACTGAATTATAACATCAGATGTGTGTTATTAATATATTTTATGTCAACTTTGATCCTATATAATATGAGAATTTTTAAAATCAAATAAAATATATTAATAACAATTAAGCTTCACTGATTTCATGCTTAATAATGCTTGATCTACATTTGAATTTTTCCTGTTATAAAAAAATATATAACAGTATGAAAAGTTATTGAATAATTTCTTTTAGAAAAAACTATATTATATTTTACTTGAATTTTAAATTTTCAATATTAGTTGCACAAATTTAATCTTAACTCAATTCAAAGTTACGTATCCCCTTATATATTAATACAAAACGTGTTGAGATTAAGTGGCAAGCTCGCATACTTCGAGATTCTATGTGGCAAAATTGTATGCTTCGTTATTAGGCTTGAGTTGATTTTAATTTACTTCCAATCTAAAAATAATTAGGTCTGGAATATCCATAAATATGATGATTATTTATAGTCATTCTACATGTATTAATCGCATTCTAATATCATTTCTTATTATAACTATTGAACTGAAAATGTATTTTAAAAGTCCTTCACCCAAATAAGATAGCCTCTTGCAAGCTCTAGCAGAACTGGTTTGGCCTTGGATAGGTTTGGCACCCAATTCAAGTCATCAATTCTAGTTGTTGCCCCATCTCTGATTTCAATTTTAAGCCATTTAGAGAAAACAAGTAGCACATGAAGCCAGCAATTCCAAGTCCATGATCCACTTTGGGTTCTGCCAGCATTGAGAATAGAAGTGTGAGGAAAGTACATGTCCTTCAGAATTCTACTGACAAGTAAATCCGGCTGAGTAGCAATCCTCCAAACTTATTTACAAATAATAGCATCATTGAACAAACTAATATCATAGAATCTAAGACCTCCATCCATTTTTGGAGGGAAAGTTTGTCCCAGCTTTTCTAGTGCAGGACCTGTGTTTGATGATCACCTTTGTTCCACCAGAACTGACCACAAAGTTTAGAGATTTCAGAGCAAATGGTAATGGGTAGTCTGAAGCATGTCATTGTAAAAATTGGGAGAGCCTAGATAACTGCTTTAAGAAGTACTTCCTTTCCTGCAGTGGATAGAAATTTAGATTTCTAGCTCTGAAGTTTCCTTTTGATGGAGTCTAGAAGATATGAAAATACTTCCTTCTTAGATCTGCCAATGCCAAATGGCAGACCTAAGTATTTGGTGGACCTGTGAGTTTGAATTCCTTGCAAGGTTCTGCAAATGTTGGATATAAGGGTCTGTAAAAAAGCAAAAGCTTAACCTGCCCTTTGATGGTGTGTTCTTGCTGGAAAAGATGCCTGACTTCTGAAGATTGACCTTTTGTCCAGCGAATAATATGTACTTATCAAGAATATTCACAACAATTTGAACTTGATCCACCCTGTCGTGCAGAAGAAGATGGAATCCTCTGCAAAAAGCATATGAGATAGAGGAGGCCCATTCTTGGAAAGTTTTACAGCTTTCAGAAATCCATTTGCAGTAGAGTCAGTAATTAGAGAAGATAGTAATTCAGCAACTATGATAAATAGGTTGCGGGATTGAGGATCCCCCTGCCTAATACCTCTGGTAGGTTTAACAAATCCAGAAAAATCACCATTAACCTTGAATGTAAAGGTTGCATAAGAGATGTAGAACATGATTAGCTTCACAAAATCATGGTGAAAGCCCATTTGAATCATAATTTTCTTAATACAGAGCCACTCCACTCTATCATAAGGTCCATTTTTAATGCCATGAATAAATTAGAAAAATAATTCAAGCAGTTATATGGTGTACGTTATAAAAATTACTATAATTTAACACATGTTAGTCGCACAAGTAACAAGTGTCAATCTAAAACATATAATACTATATATTTTTTTAAAAAAAAGTAAATAAAATTAAAAATAATTTATCTCATTAATTTTAACATTTAAGAATAAGTTTTTAACAAGAACCCGTGTAATACACGAGTATTGTACTAGTAAAGTTGATTTCAAAATAAAATCTTTAATATACAAAAGTATTGATGAATGCTTGTTTTTTTAAAGCATATAAATACTAAATAACTAAAATTTAGAGTTGCTTCTAAAGTTTATTTCAAAAATAAAATCTTCAATATAATGAGTATTGATGAATGTTTTTTTAAAGCATAAAAAATTTGAATATAACTAGGTAATCATTCAAAAAACATCAAAAAAATGAATTCGATAGTCCCGAAAATCGAACCGAACCGAATCAAATGGAAAAATATAAATCTCCAAATCGAAACGTCCCAATTTTTTGGTATGGTTCCAGAGATTTCTCATTCTCTGAATCGTATCGACACATGCTTACCCTATCTTCAGCTAGACCTAGCAGTTTTCTCTCGTGCGTTGTCTCATCGAAGTGACGACCCTAGCACCCTGTGATGCTTGCGAGCATCTGGCTCGTCCTAGTTCTGGCGGCGCGACTCTTGTAGCCTTCTCGTTCCCCCTTCCTGAGTGGTCTAGAAATTTCCTTGTTTGCCATGGCGGGCGTGGATGGGTGTAAGGCGTTAGTAGTTGTCTTCCTGTGAATACCGCGAGCAACGGTTTGAGCCTTGGTTCCCCCCTTCCCGCTCTTCCCTCGTTTTGAGAAGGGTTTACTCCGACGATGGTCATGCGGTGGTGTGGCAGCTCCGAAGTTTGCGTGTGGGAGGGTTGTGGAGAGGATCGGCCTGAAATTGTTCTATGGTGTACTACGGAAGGTTGTCGGTTTTCTTGGTCCAAGTTTAGTTAGCCAATTAGGGGAGTTTCTAGATCTACTGTGTTGGGTCGTGGATCACATAGATTTTTCTCGATAAGTCGCGATGGGTGTTGGCTCGGGTTGTGGTGGTGTTGGAGGTTCTTGCCCGGTAGGGAGGCATCAGTTTTTGTTATTTTTTAGGCTATTTTTGTTTTGTCTGTGTGTTCAGTTTTCTTTTGTCTTTTTTTTTTTGTTTTAGTTTGTCTTTTATTCTCCCGTTGGGAGCTTCTTATTCTCCACTCATGTGAGCTTGTTTTCGTTCGTAGTGTTATGTGTGTTTTGCTTTTTTATGTTGGTTTTAGACTATATTTGGTGTAGATCTCTCAACTAGATTTAGCTGGCTGATGGTTTATTCGGCTGATTAACTATTTTCTAGTACGTGCATATGTATATCCATTAATTCTAACGTTGGTATGCTCTTATATATTTGATTAACAATATCTGAGTATTTGAGAATCCGAACATTGTTATATGAAAAATGTTACAAGTACATAATAAATGTAAATAAGAGTGTACATAACCAATTTTGCTAAGGAACCAGATGGTTGGTTTCCTTATGGAACCAACCACCAATGGGACAGCTCCACATGGGGCTGTTCCACATGACTTTCATATGAGACAGCCCCATGTGGAGTTGTCCCATTGGTGGTTGGTTCTATAAGAAAACCAACCATCTGGTTTTATAGAAAAACTAGTGTACATAACACTCACATGGAATGAGATCCATTTAATTTTATATTTTTTGTAGAGCCTACTTAATGTGAATGTTACGTACAACTCTATGTACAATATTATGTACTCATAGCATTTATCATTTCTAATGTAGTTAGAAAACCAAAAATACTAGTAATTTATAAATAGATCACGCGAATAAACATTACAAACTCTGAGTTCATAAATGATGATACGATACCACATAATTGATTATCAGATCACATATTCGTGTTCTTATTATAATAAACTAGATGCCATTTAATTGTAAATGAAGATGGCATGGTGTTATAATAATTATTGAAAAACAATTCAAAAATATACCAAGTTGTGTGCACTATGCCTAATGTCGTCCATGAAGATGGAACGCCATAGGTGGATTAGTAAAGGCCAACTTGCATTTTATTAATTAAAGATATAGGAAAACATTATTAAGTAGGACAAGAAATAGAATTGAAGGCCTCCACTTGCAACGTGGATTAGGTGAGCAGATAAACTCGTATCTCCTGTCATTTTCATTTTCTTTTCTTATTCTAATTAATTAACAATATGCATTCATCGCTCTGTATATTAATTCATCCATATTAATTCAAAATATGTTGAGTTTAGGTGATAGATTCTCACGCTTTGGATGCTGACATGTCGAAAATCTATGCTTTGTAATATTATTTGCAAATTATTTTTGCTCTGGAGTTAAGTTTAGTATTAAACATAAATAACTTTACACATATTCATTAACTCAACACCCATGTTCTACGTAGGTATTAGTACTTAGTATATATTAGTACTACTTCACATGTTGAGAAATGGGTCCAAGGACCCAAGAGCGCTTGGATGAGATGGCTTGGGTCTCATCCAGCTTAATCAGTGGTCTCGTGTTCGAGCCCTGAGAATG